TGGGAACCACTGGGCCAAACAGGGAGGAAAAAAAAAATAAATCAGATTAAAGATTTACAATTTTCCGCGAGGGCGATTTATCCCCAAACCAAAGCAGCTCCCTCCCCCCAAAAGAAACCACTTTCCTGTGGAGACGGGGCTCGGAGGGGAGATGCTGCCGGCGGGGATCCCTCGGGAAGCAGCCGGAGCGCGGCCGCCTTTTCCATTTTTCCCCCCGCAGGAGATGCAGAAAACGGGTGAGATCCGAACGCAACGAAATCCCGGCCCCGCGCAGAGCTCCGCGGGCGCGGATCCCGCAGCGCCCGCTCCGCACGGGAGGCTGCGGGAGGGCAGGGGCGGAGGGGCCGCATCTCCCCCCACCCGCCCGCCCGGGGCGGGGGCAGAGAAAAGGGCGAGGGAAAAAAAAGAAAAAAAAAAAAAGAGTGAAGAAAAAAATTAAATTGAATTAAATTGTATTAAATTGATTTAAATTAAATTCTACAAAGGTTCGGAGCCGGGCACAGCTCCAGCGGCACAGCCGAGCTGTGCCCGCATCCACCTTCCCTTCCTCGTCCCCATCTCTTCCCCTTCCTCATCCCTATCCCTTCCCCTTCTTCCCTATCCCTTTCCCATCCTTTCCCTTTCCCATCCCGTCCCTCCTCTGGTATTCCCCGTCCGCGCCCGGCGCCCTCTCCGCCCGCTCTCTCACCCAACTCCGCTTCTTTATTTCCATTTTTAATATATATATAAAAAAAAATTAAATGGAAATTAATTTGAAAATCTATTTATAATATATTTTCAACGTCGATCATCTTTTCCTCTCTCGCGCGCGCGGAAATAAAAATAAAAGCGCTTTGCCGACGCTCTCGCTCCATTTTTAGGCTTTCATTTCTCCGGCATTTCAGGGAATTTTTCCTTTCCTCTCTCCCCCCTCCGCGACCTTCCTCCCCGCAGCCTCTTGCGGGAGCGCGTCCGCGCAAAGCCCGCGCAGCAGCAGCGCTCTGCTCTCCGCGGGGGGAAGGATCCCGCGCGGAGTATTTCAGTCCAGCCAAGTGGAAAATAGACTTTCAACCCCCTTTGTGCGGGAGGGGAGGGCTCGCCCCCGCCTCCGCGGGCCAACAAAACTCCGAGCAGAGCCAAACTGCGGAGTGAACTCGGGACCGGCCCGCGCAGGGGCTGCGCGCCCGCGCATCCCCCCGCGCCGGGGAGAAGCAGCCCCAAATCTCCACTTACTGGGAGCTTTTAATTATTTTTTTATTTTACTTTATTTTTGAATTCCCAGCGCAGGATCGGACCCGTGGGAAGAGCTTTTGTCCGCGGAAAGGTCCTGCCTTTGGGAGGGGGGTTACGCTGGAGGCGGAAGGGCCACAGGGTGGGATTCACCTGTCCTCCCACCCCACCCCACCCCCCCGATCTTGGCCGCGGAGTTCCGCGCTCCGCCGCGGGCAGGTTTATTTTATTTATTTAAATAGTGAAAAGAAAAAAAAAAAAAAAAAAAAAAGGAAGGAAAAAGGAAGGATTTTTTTAAAGCTTTTTTTAAAATTTTCTTTTTTCAAATTAATTTTTTTTTTGAAGACGAAGGGAAACCCCCCCGCAGCCGGAGCCCCTCTCACGCAACTTCGCGGCGCGCCTGCGGGAGCGGCTCCAGTCCAGTTTTTCGGGCGCTCTCTGCCTCCTCTTGCCTCCTCTGCCTCCCCTTGTCCTTCCCTGCCTGCCCCTATTTCCCCCCATCTCCCCTTTTCCCCTTCTTCGCCCTGCCTGCCCCCATCTCCCCCTGCCTTCCCTGCCTGCCACTGCCTCCCCTCGTCCTC